GCACTGAGGCCCCACCAGCAGCCCCCGGGGACGACTCACCACTGCTGGAGGACGGGGAGAGCAGCTTTGCGGCCTTGCCAGGCTCCCCAGAGGAAACATGAGCCGTCATGCTGCAGCCGGACACCGCAGTGGGGTGGGGAGCCTCCCCCAGGCTCCCAGGGTCCACCATCTCCCAGCTAGTGCTGCTGGGGAAGATGGAAGCTCAGAACCTCCCTGTGAAGGAAAACAGATGGCCCAAGGACCAGCATCTCCCAGTCAGGACAACCAAGAGCTGCCTCCTGGATCTGCAGGCCTTGTGGATCACGATCAGGATCCATGAGCCCACCTCAGAGCATCCCATGTAACCGCAGGGTGCCTTGGATTGGGGCAACAGCCCTCTGCCATGATGAGTGACACCTTCCCCCTCCCCGTCCAGACCCCGCTGACCTGCTGGGCAGGCCCTGGCAGGCAGCACAGCGCTGCTGTGAGCCAGGCAAGCACGGGGACCTTCCTACCACCCCCCACGCACCTCCTCTGCTCCTGGCTGCATGGGACAGGATGGGGAAAAAGCGACGCTGTTTGCATCCACATGGACCCTGTCACCCTGAAGAGTGGCGAGGTTTGAGAGCAAAGACTCGGAGCCCTTCTCGCCCCCAAGACCCCCATCCTGCTGCTGGAATTGGGCTGGAGGAGGGAGAGGTCTCCGCTGGGCTCCTCCCAGCCATCAGGTTTGGGAAGGAGCTGATGGAAACTGCCTGTCTCAAGCCTGGAAAGGCTTTTGCTTCTGTATGGGGAGACGAGCCCCAGCTCCAGCTCTGTGTCCCCCAAAACGGGTACCACAGCCCGGGCTGCCACCTTATCCATCCTCTTCCCCTCCCCGAGTGCCCTTTGTACCAAACTCAAGCAATAAAAAGCACAAACCCAAGAAAAACTGGTGTGAGAGAAACGTGATGGGGTCTGTTTCCGGAGGGGAAGGGCCTGCTTAAGAGCAGCTCAAAATGCAGCAACACATCCTGGTGCAAGACCACCAGCTCCTCTGATTTTTTGAGATTTGAGGGAGTCTTGTTTGCCCCGCACCCCCCCAGCCCATCTCCAAACTGTGCTCCCCCTCTCCACCCGTGGTGTGGCAGGTGAGCTCGGCTGCGCCGGCACGGAACGCTCCCCACCGAGGGCTGGGGCTCGCTGGAGGTTTCAGACCGCGCATCCGCTCTTTCATTGCGAGGGGTTTGGGGTTGGTGGCTGGGAGGCAGCCAGCGCTCCTGCCACATCCTCGCCTGTGCTCATGGGGTGGATGCTGCCGGGTTTTCCCCCCCACCCCCTCCTCCTCCTTGCTCTGCAGCAGGAACCGCAGCTATTTTAGATGCAGTGGAACAGCCTCAGCTGGGGGATGCGCAGGGTCTGTCAGCGCTGGGCCCTCCAGCAGCGGAGGCTGATGAAGCCTTTCCAGTGGTAACGAGGCCCCATTTCTACTCCTGCTTGTGTTTCAGTGGCTGATAAAGCACAGCACAGGACTGATAAGAACTAAGCATTTCTAGATAATAAGAAAATGGCAATAAATAAATGAAACTCCAAACGTGGGGATGGCAGGAGAGCCGCGTGCTCCATGCCCAGGGTACCCTCCCTCTGGATGCGCTTTTCAGGCGCTGGGATGAGGTGGCTGGTGGCAGCAGGGGACAAGGCTGACCCTGGCCAGCTCCTGTGTCCCAGTGGAGGGTAGGACGCTGCTGCTTGCTCCCGTTCTGGCTCTGCGTTATGTCCAGCTGAGCCAAACCTGGAGATTTTGGCAGCAACAAGCTACTGACAGCCAAGGTGCCATCGAGCCTGGCTGCTGTTTGGGCTGTGTTACGCCAGAGCTGCGTTTCTTTTATCCTGCTACATCTTTGAACACAGCAAAAAAGAAAATACGCCTGGCCTCATGCCGCCATCCTGGTGCTCCTGTTGCATGGAACCGGACCGAGCCTCAGCGATCCCCAAGCCCCGTCCTTTGTGCTTGGAGCCAGCAGGAGCAGATGGAAATAGCAGCGTGATCCCAGCTGCGGCGAGGCCACAAGCCGTTGTACGCAGGGCTGGGCGAGTAGGCAGGGATATATATAGAGACAGACGTATGGATGATGCACTGTGCGCACGCCTCGCCGGGTGCTGGGGCTCAACGATGCCAGCGTCCCCAAAATACTTGCGTGTAGCAGAAACATGTGAGGTTTCCGCTGACTGCGGCAGCTTCTGGCCCTCGTGTCACTGCGCCGATTGGTGCCTGGACCCCCACCCAGCTCCTTCCCCAGCCAGAACGTGAAACTCCAGGGCTGTGAAAGGCTGAGGTGGTGGGAAAAGAGTGTAGGGAGGTAGGGACCTCCCCTCCCCAGGTGTCAGAGCTTCTGGGCCCAGCCACTGCTGTGGGGACATGCTGGTGGCACCCAGGGCCACCTGCACCTCTTGCCCTGCTGAGCACAGACATGGAGCTGGTGGCAGCAGATGGGTTGTGCCAGGCAGAAATTAGCTTATAGCTGGGGCTTGGAGTTCTGCAGTGCTCTGCCAGGGCCAGCACCCTGTGGGGCAATGGATAATTAGCTGCTAATTAGAAGCACTGCCTCCCCAGGCAAAGCAGCAGCACCCCAGATTGATGGCATGACCCCCAGGGTGCCATGGGTGGGGCTGGGTGCCCTGTGCCAGGATGGCTACAAGCTACATGGGAGGCAAGAGGGACTGACGGACCCCAACCCAAGGGGGAAGAGTGAGCCGAGTTCCTGCCCAACCCCAAATCCACCGTTCACAAGCAGGAGTAGAAATGGGGCCTCGTTACCACTGGAAAGGCTTCATCAGCCTCCGCTGCTGGAGGGCCCAGCGCTGACAGACCCTGCGCATCCCCCAGCTGAGGCTGTTCCACTGCATCTAAAATAGCTGCGGTTCCTGCTGCAGAGCAAGGAGGAGGAGGGGGTGGGGGGGAAAACCCGGCAGCATCCACCCCATGAGCACAGGCGAGGATGTGGCAGGAGCGCTGGCTGCCTCCCAGCCACCAACCCCAAACCCCTCGCAATGAAAGAGCGGATGCGCGGTCTGAAACCTCCAGCGAGCCCCAGCCCTCGGTGGGGAGCGCTCCGTGCCGGCGCAGCCGAGCTCACCTGCCACACCACGGGTGGAGAGGGGGAGCACAGTTTGGAGATGGGCTGGGGGGGTGCGGGGCAAACAAGACTCCCTCAAATCTCAAAAAATCAGAGGAGCTGGTGGTCTTGCACCAGGATGTGTTGCTGCATTTTGAGCTGCTCTTAAGCAGGCCCTTCCCCTCCGGAAACAGACCCCATCACGTTTCTCTCACACCAGTTTTTCTTGGGTTTGTGCTTTTTATTGCTTGAGTTTGGTACAAAGGGCACTCGGGGAGGGGAAGAGGATGGATAAGGTGGCAGCCCGGGCTGTGGTACCCGTTTTGGGGGACACAGAGCTGGAGCTGGGGCTCGTCTCCCCATACAGAAGCAAAAGCCTTTCCAGGCTTGAGACAGGCAGTTTCCATCAGCTCCTTCCCAAACCTGATGGCTGGGAGGAGCCCAGCGGAGACCTCTCCCTCCTCCAGCCCAATTCCAGCAGCAGGATGGGGGTCTTGGGGGCGAGAAGGGCTCCGAGTCTTTGCTCTCAAACCTCGCCACTCTTCAGGGTGACAGGGTCCATGTGGATGCAAACAGCGTCGCTTTTTCCCCATCCTGTCCCATGCAGCCAGGAGCAGAGGAGGTGCGTGGGGGGTGGTAGGAAGGTCCCCGTGCTTGCCTGGCTCACAGCAGCGCTGTGCTGCCTGCCAGGGCCTGCCCAGCAGGTCAGCGGGGTCTGGACGGGGAGGGGGAAGGTGTCACTCATCATGGCAGAGGGCTGTTGCCCCAATCCAAGGCACCCTGCGGTTACATGGGATGCTCTGAGGTGGGCTCATGGATCCTGATCGTGATCCACAAGGCCTGCAGATCCAGGAGGCAGCTCTTGGTTGTCCTGACTGGGAGATGCTGGTCCTTGGGCCATCTGTTTTCCTTCACAGGGAGGTTCTGAGCTTCCATCTTCCCCAGCAGCACTAGCTGGGAGATGGTGGACCCTGGGAGCCTGGGGGAGGCTCCCCACCCCACTGCGGTGTCCGGCTGCAGCATGACGGCTCATGTTTCCTCTGGGGAGCCTGGCAAGGCCGCAAAGCTGCTCTCCCCGTCCTCCAGCAGTGGTGAGTCGTCCCCGGGGGCTGCTGGTGGGGCCTCAGTGCCTTCCTCCTCCTCCTCCTGCTGCTGCTGCTGGAGGCTCTGCAGGCGCTCCTGCCGTGCCTCCATGAACTCCTGCGCCCCATTACCCACCAGCTGAACAGTATCCCCGACACAGGGTGGCTGCTGGATGGGGTTGTGGTCGTAGGAGAGGAGCCGCAGGGCAGAGATGCAAGTCAGGTCGGGAAAGCGAGCGATGCGGTTGCGATCCAGGTCGAGGACGTGAAGATGAACCATCCGCAGCAGGACCGGGGGAAACTCCTCGAAGCGATTCCCGTAGAGCCAGAGCCCTCGCAGGGCGGCCATGCGGGACAGCCCGGCAGGCAGGCGGGCGAGGCGGTTGTCACCCAGCTGGAGGCTGCGGAGGTCGGGCAGGTGCAGGAGGGCGCTGGGGAAGCGGGCGAGGAAGTTTCCCTCCAGCCAGAGGCAGCGCAGGCTCTGTCTCTTATACA